AGGACAACTCTTTGCAACTGACAAGGAACTCTTTCTCTCCAAAAGTCACAGGCATGGCCAAGAACTTGATCTAGGTATGGGACCAGACAGGCTGGAAAGTTTCTAAAAAGGTGGAAGAAGGGTAACCATTGCTCTAAGCATGATAAACAACTCCTAACTTTGGTTGATGTACAGGCCCCTGCCCTTGGAAAAGTATTTTGACCCTTCATTCAAGGAAGCATCACCTACTAAGTGATGCTTTACAGGGTTTATGATTTTTACTTATCTGCCCCTTCTCTTCAGAGTAGCAAGAAATCATGATGCTAATAAAATACCAGAGGCTTCCTGGCCAGGTCAAGAAGTCCTCTTTGTCATTACTGATAACCCTAAAGTCCTGGAGACTGATTCATAATAAATATATTAGTGGGGAAATATCTAAAAATGTTAAATGTCTATCATAGACTGTGACCTTGACACAAGATACCCAGAGATATAAATTCAGATAATAGATCTGAATTTTACATGTTGTTCTATTACAAAGGTATTTATGAATGGACTTCCCCCACCCAAATGAGCAAGCCTTTGTTGAACATAACAATAAGGGATCATAGTATTGGGTCCAGTGGCCCAGGTGGAGCCTGATGCTTACCAGTGCCCTCTCTTTGAAACCCTCCTGATCCCAAGACCAAGGGGTCTTCTGAAGCACTGTATACTTACATCTATTAGGGGATGGATCATGTCATGTTTAGATAATGCATCTTGCTGATAAGGTTGAAGCCTGGCCTAACACTGGTGTAGGATCCTTCCAGCTCAATTGTTTCTGAAGGGTAGGAAGGGAAGATACAAGTAGGGAGAAAGAGACATGGAAGGAAACAAGCCAAATGGGTCAAACATTTAGGTCTACTTACCTCAGGGCTCCTCCTGGTGGGTCTTTATACATTCAGCTTTTGAGCCTTGAATATATTTTATCACTTTATTAGAGTTGTGAATTCTTGTCATCTTTCAAAGGTAAGTCCCAAACTCACTTCTTTCGAGGAAGCCTACTTCATCCCTGTCTTACCTTTCCACCTCTTCTTTCTACTGCTCGTTCTTAAATAACTTTACTTAGAATTTGGGGTGCTAAGATTTTTATTTTTATATTTTCAAATGTGTCTCTTTTTGCTAAACGGTGTGCAACTTTAGGTCAAGAATTTACTTTTGAACCTTCAGTGTCTTAAGAGTTCCTGGTATAGAGGCTTAATATTTACTGATGAATGAGTAGACATCTCTAACCCCATCCCTAAATTTTAGTCAAAGGGCACCTATCTTCATTTTTAACTAACTTAAGGATTCCATTTTGAGCATATAGGTTATCTATTTAATTATTCATAGCGCTTTTTAAACTCTAGGGCAGCTGGTGTATCAGCTACTGTTTCCAGGATACCTTTCTCAATCGGTTATCAGGGAGCATGGAGCAGAATTCATTTCAATCTCAATCTCCAAGAGTATGACTTACAGGACGATGTAGCCAAAAATCAGATCATTCATTTAGAGTCAATGATAAATGGCATTCTAATACACTTGGCTTTCTTTTCTTTTTTGGGGGGGTCGGTCATGGGGCCTGAACTCTGGGCCTGGGCACTGTCCCTCAGTTCTTCAGCTCAAGGCTAGCACTCTACCACTTGAGCCACAGTGCCACTTCCAGCTTTTTTTTTCTGCTTATGTGGTGCTGAGGAATCGAACTCAGGGCCTTAAGCACGCAAGGCAAGCACTCTACCACTGAGCCACCTTCCCAGCCCCACACTTGGTTTTCTTAAGTATAATGTTTGTGCTATTTTTAAATACCTGTTTTTCCCTTATTACACGAAATGACATTGAAACACATGAATTATGGACAATGGACATAAAGTTTAAAGAAAATTATTCAGGGAACTTTAATATGACTAAGAGATGATGAGAGTCAGTGAGGCTAGAAAAATAAACAAGAATGAGGTCATGAGAGGCAGGGAGAACTTTAAGTTGTACTATTATATTTGGAACATATGCTAGAAGAAAGGAAGAGCCCTGTTTGGCTTTCATCAAAGGACTGTGGGGGAGCAGTATCTTGAACACACAAGCTACACAGGGCGACCTGGTGACCAACCAAGGCATGATGCTGAGGACAGAGGGGAGGCATACTGACATCACTCACCAGGAAGGAATATAATTTAATGACAAATAACAAATGACAAATGAATTTTGTCATTTGTCATTGAATTATATTTTAAGGAATACCTTCCTTTGAATGTTTTTGGTAAGTAATGTGCATAACCAGATTTTCTTCTCTATTTTTATAGCTTGACAATAAATTTGGTACCAAGTTAGAAAGTAGATGTTAGTAGCCATCACTTTAACTTGTGATCATATGATACTGCAGCATTTTCTTTCTTTTTTTTTTTTTTTTTTTGGTTGGTCATGGGGCTTGAACTCTGGGCCTGGGCGCTGTCCCTGAGCTCTTCAGCTCAAGGCAAGCACTCTACCATTTGAGCCACAGCACCACTGTTGACTTTCTGGTGGTTAATGGAAGAGTCTCACGGACTTTCCTGCCCAGGCTGGCTTTGAACCATGATCCTCAGATTTCAGCATCCTGAGTAGCTAGAATTACAGGTGCCTGGCTCCCTTCTGTCTTTTAAGAAGTAAATAATTTCCAGTGAATCCAATAAAACTGAGTCCTAATCAGGCATATACTTATTATTAATCAGAGATTTTATTTTGCTCCATTGACTGTTTAAATTTTCAGTGAGCCTTTGACTGAAACTAATTTTAAAATTAATGATACCAGGCACATGGCCATTTAATCCACAATGCAAGAGAACATAGAAAAGGGTTTAAGAAACAAAATAATCAAACCATAAAGCTACAACATTCTACATAACAAAAAATTTAATATACATTTGACTAAAAGATGCATACAATGATTACTAAATCTCCATTCGTAGGCAGCCAACGAGATATGAATGAATTCAGTAACTTTGAACAAAGCTGCAGGTTGAGCACTTAAAAAAAAGTTACAAACCATTTCAAAATGAACAACAGAAGCAGCAATGATTATAAAATGGGATGAGATGACTAAAGAAATAATTCAAGTATCGTTTGTAAAGTTCTTCAGACATTAGTCTTTGAAAGTTTGTGCATTTCCCATCTTTGCATAGTGAAAAACAAAAACAAAACCACACACATCACTTGGCAAAACTCCACAGCTCTATGCGATTCATGTGGCGTAACATGCACCTATATGTACTGCTCATTTATCTAGTGGGAGTAGCTCTAATCCACTGGGCTCATGCACTATCCTGGGTGAGCAATGAAGTGATTAGCGCACATCTCCTCATCCAGGTGTCATTCATTATGCAGCAAAAGTGTAGCAGGTGAAATGGGAACTTGGTCATCACTTAACACTCTTGTTGGGTAACATTAAACAGAGTGATATGCTTGTGCTTTGAGCTCAAGTTAAAAAGAAGGAGTATTTACACCACACCAAAATAAAAAATCAGCAAATAAATGGCATGTGCAAGAGTTTGAAACTACATAATCTAATGCCACCAAAAAGAACTATAACCCATTGTTTATGATATGGTTACATTATCTTTCATATTCATACACACATAGCTTAAAGCTTGTGTAGTTTACATATACACAGATAATTTAACATTGGAGCATAGGTTTGGTTACCTATGAAATTACCAGTGTAACAAAAAGTTACACTTAACATTTGCCATATGTACATAATATTTGGGGACCACTGTGGTCTGATTTAAAACATAACATCGCACGTTTACAATGTTGTTTGTGAAGTGCTCAAAAGTTAACAATAGAGATTTGTTTTGTAACCGGCCTGGTTTTGTGTCTATTAAGTCACCATGGTGCCTCTGGGAAGGTAGTGAAATGTGAATGGTGCAGTTAGCAGCATGTCATCTCTGAGTGAAGAGGACTCATGAAGCGGTGAAGCAACAGGAAAAGATACCAAGCCATCTCAGTTTCCTCCAGCCTTCCTCCAAGGTAAAAGGGCTTTGCCATTAAGTGAAGGGATACAACCTGTGTCTGGTGAAACCAGGGAAAAGGCTGAGAAGCCTTTTCCGTAGCCCTATTACAATAGAAACATGGAATAAGTTCTAGAGAGAAGACTGCGCACCTGTGTAGCACCTATTACTCAGAAAGCAAAACAGGAATGAGATGATAGATGATAGGTTTATGGTCTATGGCAGCATACAAAAACTGTGATTTCTGCTCTATGATTGTAAAGCTTCCAATCTTAAAGATACCCTGGGGAATGGGTGGGGACGTGTCATTGTTTTAAGCAGGACATTTTTAGATCCTTCTTTCCAAGGTCAGAGAAAAAGTGATAAAACTGAAGTCATGAATCTTGCTGAAAAGGAACTTAGAGCTGAATCTAGCAACTGAATTCAGTGCCAGGAAGAAGTGCATAGGGCAAGGGCATGTCTTGCTCCTAAAAAACAAAAAAGACAATGAGGAATAGGGACGTCTGGGGGGCCTTTAGTAAAGTTCATCCATAGACGGATGCTCACCCAAGCGACCATGGGTAAGTCTGTGCACACAAAGTATGAACCGAATTTCTTTATCAACTTGCTAGCTTACACTTGAGCAGAAACTATCTTGACCTATCTTGAGCTATCAAAAACCAAAGAAATGGGTGAATGTGAAGGAAACTCAAGAGGGACTTGGGAATGCCAGGATTCAGTCTGCAACTCTGCTGGGAGGGCAAAGAACGATGTGAATCTGTATAAAATGGAATCCCACTGGAACCCAGCACAATAACTCATGGACCAGAAAAACAGAGAGGCTAAGAAAAGTTTCCTGAAACCACCAAACAGAGCCTGAAAGAACAGGATCAACTGGCACACTTTCACGACGAGGCTCTACCATACAGATTCTGAGGCAGGAAGGTGAACAATGAATGAACAAGTGACAACAATGGACGTGAATCAAATGGAAAGTTTAACTCTTTTCCCAAGCTTTCAACATTTAAAGATTATTTTTTTTTATTTAAGGCTTAAAGTTTATCCTCCTTTCACATTGAAGACAGGGAAAGAAAATCGTCAAAACAAAAACCTAAAATCATGAGCTTGGCACTTTTGTGATTAATTTGACAGGGTGTCTACTTTCTTACATTATATACAGATGATGACATCAAAAAATTTTACACTTGTCAGTACATATATATTTTCATTTACATAGTTTTGTAGTTTTGATATGGGTTATTTTGTTATTTTGTCCACCCCCCCTCCTTTGTTTAGTTTTGGTTTCAAGCATACTAACTTTCAATTGCATCTGTTTTGTGCCCAAACTCCCTGCATCTATGGCTAAGCAAGCCCAACCATCATATGTAACAAGAGAGAAGGACAAAGGAAAGAATGAAGCGAAAGAAACAACAAAAACACATGGGGAGCAAGCAACAAACTCAACTTTACAGAGAACCTTTACAAGAAAAGGATTTCAATACAGACAAGTGAAAATGATCCGTCAAAATCTATTTCCATATTTACATTTATAAAAGAATTATACAATAGCATCATTGTTCAAATTCCAGCTCCCATTTCCAAAGGATACTTAGTCCAAGGGGGTGAAAAAAGAATGAATTAACAAGAACACATTCCTGGCTAGTTCTGCCCTGGGCTGGTCCAGAAGTGGGGCTCTTAGTGGGCAAAGGGGAAGGGAGGCTTAGAGGGCGGGGCATGGGGAGGCGTTACCCAGACCCAGGCAGATTCTGTGCCCATCTGATGTCTTCCCCTTAGAAATTCCCACTGCAGCTTTTGCTGAGGATTGGCTTGCTAGCTTGTTGCTGTATATATGCCATGCAGGTTTTACCCTTTCGAAAATTGGATCTTCATGCCACTGGAGTTTGTCATTGGTGGTAAGAAGGGAAAAAAAAAACCATGCCAAATCATTTAGAAGATATTAAGTGCCAGCAGGCTTGGGGTGGGGGCAATCATTTGCTATTTTTTTTAATGGTTCTTTTATTGCACTTATTTGTTGTTGATGTTTCTCCTTTAGTTAGAAAAAAAAAAAAGGATTCCAAAGTTCTTTATAGGACAAAGTCTTTATCCCTTCCTCACTTTTATGGGGGGGGGGGGTCTTTGAAGTTATTTCCAAAGGGACAGTTTCCTTTTACTCCCATCTCCAACACCCCAATTGTAGCTCTGTTGTCATTACCACCCAGTAGTTCTGTTTACAGATGTAATAGTTCTGGCAATGTGGCCACGAGTATGTCATACCCAGAACCCCATAGCACAAGGTGGTATCCATCCAGTGCAGCCGATTCAGATGGGGCCTTGCTGAGTCGGATCGAACCTCCTCTTCTTGACATTTCTTCCAGAGTGAGTCAAAACAAGATGCAAACAGGGGGAAACAAAAATCCACAATATTAATCAGATGACGGTGAGACAAGCAATAACGACGTCAATGCTAGTTCCAGAGCAAAGTAATCATCTCACAGGGAGGCAGTCTCTGAGACAACTTGAACACGGAAGAGCTAATGAGTATCTTCATGTCTCCCTACTACACTGTGCTCGCTTGTGAAGATCAAAAGAAACGTCAAATCATTAACCTGTAATCACAGGCCAACTCTGGGGCCCAATTTGTCTCTTATTTCAGAAGCAAACAGCACAGCTAATTAGCTAGATTTAAAAAAAAATTATTGTATGGAGACCTTTTCCATGTAGAGGCTCCTGGGAGAGCAAAATAAAATTCTGAAGGTCTTATGGCAGCTTCCCATCAAGCCTCCAGCGTTTCTGTGTCTGTGAGTGTATCCTTTACCAAGAAAGGTACTGGGGGAAAACTCTACTCTATTTAGATATCTCTGACTTGGGTGTGTGAACTCTTACCACACTATGGAACAAGCATTTTTCATAGTAGAAAGTTGGAAGACAGAGTGCACCGTTACACAGTACACTCCAAGGAGAATGGACACAGGCTCGGGTTAGTTAAGCAAACGCAGCCGTTTAGCTAGTTGAAATAAGCAAGTTAAAATGCCTTGTTCAGTGTCCAGTCTCCTAACAAGTGATTCTTATGTTGGAAAAAAGAAAGGAAGGAAGAAGAAAGAACCAGCAAGACACTACAAGGCAACAACACAAGTTGGTTGCAACCTCCCCATGGTCTGGCTTCATGTGGGGCATCAAGCATGGACTCATGCATTTGTCTGCATACTGGCGGGTGCAATGCTGCTGCCACAGAGGCATCATGCAAACCTGCACACTGAGGAATCCCTGATCCCTTGTTTCCCAGCTCCTCACTCAAGCCAGATTGATATCCTTACCAGCCCTATGGAGTCCCAGCCCACTCATTCAGGACCACGCAGGTACCCTTACAAGCCCTCTGTAGCAGAGATTACCACAGATTTCTCCTCCTCTGTAAGTAATTAAAAATAAAAACCACTTCCCAAAACTCAAAACACATCCTGCACAGTTGTTGGTTTGTTGTTGTCATTGTTGTTTTGTGAATGACTACTCTGATGCTTCTCTTTGGAAATACCAAATACAAAGATCCTTTAAGACATTTTGACATTAAGACATGAAGACAATGTCCATTAAGACATTTTCATGAATGGCCAAAACATGTGGTACACTGGCCCCTCAGGTAGTCTATTGCAGCAAACACTACTTGTAAAAGAGCTACTTACTGTTCTTCACCACTGCCACCCAGCCCTCTTTTGAATCAATGCTCTTGAAAGCAGGTATTACTAATGCTGACTGGGAAACAGAAGTAAGTCCTAGTGGGAGGCTTTCTACAATGTATCTTGCTGATTTGTTTGCTGTGGAGCACAGGACATATGTATGCTACCCAGGCTCATACTTCCCAAAATAGGTATTGAAGGAGTCACTGTGAGTCTGAAATAACCTTGAGAAATGACGCTGGAGGACCTAGTTAGGTATACATTGCTGGAACTCGAGGAATGTTAATATTCACCTGATTAATCTGAATGCAGAGGAGAGAGCAAACCTAACTAGCACTGTGCATATAAGTAACTACAATGCCCACATCTAAGTTACTTAATTCAAATACAGGGAACATCAATACATTGCCATGTCCAAGGTCACAAACAGCGACGCTGTTCATTTTTAAATGGAGCTATGGAATTCCATCTAGGTGTCCAAACATGTGTGGTCCTTTTAAAAGGCAGTTTTTAAAGCTAAGATTGAACCTTTACACAAACAATGTTTTGCAGGGTCGCTGGGTTTCTTGGTCAGAGCTAAGACATCTTGTAGAGCCATCAATTTTCAATGTAAAATACCAACCAGGGAATGGAGGACCTTTGTACTCCAGACAAGCTAGAAGGGAGGGACCCAGCAACGGGGAGGGTGGGATGCCCCTGCAGCAAGCTGGCTGCCCAGCTTCCTCAGCCCAAATTGGAAAAGCACACAAGCCAATCCACCTTTAAGAACTCCGTGTCCTAATTCTTCTCCTGAAGGCAGAATTCCTTCTTGATCAATTTGAATGTAAAAGTTACATTTTACTATGTTACTGTGTTTTTTTTTTAATTTTGATTTTTCTGAATAGTCTCCTGTGCAATTCTAAAAGCAATTAGATTTTTTTTATCATAACCTGTCAGTTATTTTTGGATCCCTACAAAATACTGACATGATCTGTAAACTTTATATTGGTACAGTTTTCACCAATTTTTACACTTGGAAAAAACTTGAACTTTTTTTTGTCTATAATGCATATTTTATACATGTCTATTACATAATTAAAACTCTCCAAATAACTGGCCATCTCAGAGCTATAAGACCTTCAGCTCTTCTTATATGGGCCTGTATAGTTAACTATTGCAATAACTTTCTTATATTTCTATGATGAGAAATATAAGAAAGCACCCTTTCCTCAGCCATTTTAGGCTGAGTTCATGTCTTCAGGGCACTGAGTCAAGGACATGCATGATCTTCCTGGCCAGTCTGTCATCACCATTGTCTCTCAAGGCTGATAAAAAGTGCCTAACTCAAGAGTTCTAGGAATTAAGGAAGTCCAGCTGCTTATTTTACACTGAGATATGGTCTTGGATTAAGAAAGGCAGCAGTCTAGTTGTTCTTCTCATGGAGAAACTAGCAAAAACTTATTGTACTTCCTAATTCTGTGGAAATCAAAACTCTTTCCTGCTCCCCCACAAAAGACATTTGATTTTTTTTTAAAAAAGGAAGATTAAGTTACTACCCTAGATATAGCTCTATTCCTATATAGAGAGATGATGTATAATATCATTTTGTAAGTATACATAAGCGTTTATTTAGTGTGTCAACAAAATGGAACATGGAGCAAAAAGAATGTCTTAGAGCCAAAGGAAACAGGCTCATTATGAACTTGTAACCCAAGTAACTTCTCAGAGAGGAATTACAAATGAAAAGCATATACTTATCAGATACCTTAGATCATCAGGAGCTGCTCTAGAAAGCCATAATGGCCAGTACTGGTGGCCATGGAAACTAACTTTGCCACAGGATCCCATGGAGAGAGCTAATAGTGAGGAAGTGGGACCTGTGGTGGGAACACCATAGTCTAAGGCATTGCAATATGGTAAACAATTTCAGTATTCATCCTGGAATCCATGTAATTTCAAATGTCTACAGACTATGTCACTGTTACCTTCCCGTTCTTTTCCTATCATTGCTGAGATCTCATTTCCTAGTGCTGTCAACCATGAGATTGATAAACATTATGTACATGTAAATGACCACATTGCTCACATAGGATTCCAGTATTCAAAGGGACTGTCAGATAAATAGTCTCCTGCAAGGTAATCGCAAAGCTTCTTTTCATTTTAAATGTACACATAAAATTCACACTCATTTTTCCTAGGCTTTAGGATAGATGCTACTAAAATGTTCTATCATCCATTTCATTTGCTCCAATTGTCCTGTAAAAACAACAGCTCCGATAGTCAAATAGAATAGCATTACTATTCAGCATTAAGTAGATGCCAGGAGCTTATGTTAGTCAACCGGGACACAAGTCAGCAATCTTTTATACCAAAGTTTATAAGTTTATTCTATATGTAGGTAATATAGAGATGCATTGGGGTATGGGAAGGTGAACAGAAGAGTGTGCCACATTCCTATGTTCATTTCCCATGGGAGGTCTCAGAATAAATCTTAAGACCCTACATGTACACCCAGGAACCTATAAATTAAATCATCCCTTAATATCCTCACACATCTGGAGTAGGGAGTACAAGATTACTCAAAGTCAGTAAAAATACCCACCACATTATTGAATATGTCAGAATATGTAAAATAACAAAACAATCATATTAATAACCAATCAAAGAAAGTGCTTTTCTTCCTTCTAGGCATTCTGTACCCTTGCTCATAAAGTCCTGTTTACATTAACCCAAGTTTTCAGAGACTACTACTTGGCTGAAATGAGACGGTCTAAATTTGAATTAATTTCAGATCACAATCATTTTATGAATCTTTATACATATAAAAACACACATTCACATACTCTCATAGGCATGCTTTCAATCACCTATTTAAGGAGACACTTTTTAAAGGACAGAATTATAAAATAAAATAAAATAAAATGAGGAAGGGGGGGCAATATCAAGTCTCAGAGTATCCCTGACTTTATGCTTGAGAAAATCATGGCTGGCCTGACATTTTGTAATTCTTTATGGCTTAATATAAACCATTAAAATCTAAAGCAAATCATGTAGCGTCTAAGAGTTAGAATGAGGTTGCAACTGCTTCTACAAATTAAAGTTACACCTTGGAGAATCATTCCTAGTCCCTATATTTACTTCAGTCTACTGTGCACCTTTCTGCAATGTTTTCTCTTAAAGTGAGTAGCAGAATCATGGGAAAGGCCTTTGGTGTGATCAGCCCACATTTATCTATTCCACCATCTCCACGCTGCAGCCAGTGGAGGTCGGCTGGTTCTATGACAACCTTCCACCTTTTTTTCCCTACCTTTCTGAAAATCAGTTATTTCTTGCAGACATAAGTCACCTGTATAGAGCCTAATTTACTTATATATACAGTGCTAAAAGCTTTTCCCCTTGCCTCACCGCCCCCCCACAAAAAAAACCATGCAATCAAGCTGTGAGCTAGGCCAGGCCGCTGTTTTGAGGTCCTGCTACAGAAGAGGGCACACTTGTTATCTTCAAATGCTGAAATAATAATTTTAGCACTGCACATGGCTGCATGCATGATGCAGAAGGGACTCTTTCCCAGGCCTTTGGAGCTGAGGTTTCTCAATGCGACAAAAGACGCCTGGGGATGAGCTAAATTTCTTTTGCTTGATGCACATTATGAAAAAAAAAGAGCATCATGAACAGAGTAGGACATTGCTGTAATGTACTATGACTTCCTGACAGTAGT